ACTAAAGAAAGGCCAATTCGTAGCAGTTTATTTGCTTTTGGTCGTGAATATTTATTAGTTTCCTACGTCCCAAAAAAAATAAGAATGTCCTGCTTCTGTCAACTCTCCATGAATATGACGAAATTGACGAGGAAAGTGGTGAAGCTTGCAAACTGAAGACCTTTATTCAGTGGCAAGAATCACATGTAGGTGGCCATTGACTGTATTTTTTTACTATGCTAAACATCGCTGGAATAAATTGAAACATATTTAGGACAAATGTATTAGATTCCTGCCAACCAAGATGTGAGTATCTGAAAATTTTAGCCAGACAACTCATTACCCCACATATGCAAAAAAGAGCGGCCCAAAACTTGCCATTTCTGCTAACTTTGCAAATTAAAAAATATCTGAATCTTCCTTTGACACAGAAACGAGATTTTCCTGAGGAAAAATCAAGCAAGGCCAAAATGTATGTATGTATGTATATATATATATATATATATATATATATATATATATATATATATATTCTTGGAAAGGGCTTTAGTGCCTATGTGAGTATTAATATAATATGAATATATTGGGTCTTGTCAATACTGGCCTTTAAATAAAACTCTAATATATATATATATATATATATATATATATATATTATATATATATATATATATATTATATATATATATATATACTTTGGAGGGTAACTTCGGGAAAGCGTCAAAACAAGGATCAGCTAGAGATGGTATAAGCCAGCTTGGTGTAGAACTTTATTCTATATGTGAAATTTTCGGTGATATGTTGTCACCTTCATCAGCACCTAAATGGAAAACCTATTATAGTACAGTGGTGGAAATCAACATTTAAAAACCTACATTGAAAATGTTCAGTTGGTCCTAGTTGTAAAAAACACTGTCACAAACATGTTTAAAAATATTAAAAAATACATTTAAAATTTTGATTAAAAACATTACAAACAACAGGGTAGTTTTTCAAATAAAAACACAACAAAAAATCAATTTACAACCTACAAAAACTACAAATAGAAAGAAGAATTAATCTTCTTTTTTGATGACATATTTCGTCAACATCCGGGTGTCATATGTAACGAGGTTATAATTTTACTTTTGCACATCACAACCACATGGATACGAAAAGAAAGAGCCCTAGGCAACATAATAAGCAAGGAAATAGTCCCCTCTAAAGCACAGGTAGGTAATCTATGCATGTCATGATAAGTTCCCCACATTTTCCAGTTTGTTACTTCTTGTCAAGTCCTGTGAAGTAGAAAGGAATAAATACAACTTAAGTTTTCAACATCTTTCTTACAGTTCATAGGAGAGCTGCAGTTGTGGATGTAGCACATTTCTATGAAGTTTCTCTTAAATTGGTTGTCAACCTCTTTAGTACTTGCACATTTTCATAGTTAGCAGTGTGTCCAGTATTCTTAATATGTTGGCTAAAGGCTGTGCTGGTGGGCTTCCTCACAACATCACTCCTGTGCAAGCTATTCTTTTTGAGAGTTTCTGGCTGGTTTGACCGACATACACTTCTGAACAAGAACCACATGGAATAGAATACACTAAATTGAAGTTATCCAGTTTTTTAACTCTTTCTGTCAGGTGAGTAAAGTTATGTCCCTAATCTTTGTAAACAGAAATTTGCTATCACTATGTTGAACTGTCTGAAAAGGTTTGTGATCTGTGGTGATAAACCTTTGATGTAAGGCAATCTCCCATAGAACACTTCTTAGTGTTCAGGTTTATCACCACAGATCACAAACCTTTTCAGACAGTTCAACATAGTGATAGCAAATTCTGTTTACAAAAGATTAGGGACATACTTTACTCACCTGACAGAAAGAGTTAAAAAAACTGGATAACTTCAATTTAGTGTATTCTATTCCATGTGGTTCTTGTTCAGAAGTGTATGTCGGTCAAACCAGCCAGAAACTCTCAAAAAGAATAGCTTTGCACAGGAGTGATGTTGTGAGGAAGCCCACCAGCACAGCCTTTAGCCAACATATTAAGAATACTGGACACACTGCTAACTATGAAAATGTGCAAGTACTAAAGAGGGTTGACAACCAATTTAAGAGAAACTTCATAGAAATGTGCTACATCCACAACTGCAGCTCTCCTATGAACTGTAAGAAAGATGTTGAAAACTTAAGTTGTATTTATTCCTTTCTACTTCAACAGGACTTGACAAGAAGTAACAAACTGGAAAATGTGGGGAACTTATCATGACATGCATAGATTACCTACCTGTGCTTTAGAGGGGACTTTATTTCCTTGCTTATTATGTTGCCTAGGGCTCTTTCTTTTCGTATCCATGTGGTTGTGATGTGCAAAAGTGAAAATTATAACCTCGTTACATATGACACCCGGATGTTGACAGAAATATGTCATCAAAAAAGAAGATTAATTCTTCTTTTCTATTTGTAGTTTTTGTAGGTTGTAAATTTTAGATTTTTTGTTGTGTTTGTATTTGAAAAACTACCCTGTTGTTTGTAATGTTTTTATTCAAAATTTTAAATGTATTTTTTAATATTTTTTAACATGTTTGTGACAGTGTTTTTTACAACTAGGACCAACTGAACATTTTCAATGTAGGTTTTTAAATGTTGATTTCCACCACTGTACTATAATAGGTTTTCCATTTAGGTGCTGATGAAGGTGACAACATATCACCGAAAATTTCACATATAGAATAAAGTTCTACACCAAGCTGGCTTATACCATCTCTAGCTGATCCTTGTTTTGACGCTTTCCCGAAAGTTACCCTCCAAAGAATTGTATTCTTAGCGTCGTTACACACACTCTATTTATATATATATTATATATATATATTTTATAAATATTTATATATATATATATATATATATATATATTATATATGTATATATATATAATATATATACAGGGTGGTCCTTAAGTAATTGTACCAGAAGAAACCGTAGATTCTACACTTTAAAATATTACGATTTAAGCCAGTTTTTTTTAATAAAATGTTGATATTAAGAAAGGTACAGGGTATTAAAGTGTTAATTTAAACCTTTAATTTTCGCTATAACTTTCATGTTTGTGAACATTTATGTATAAAAATTCATAACCGGATACAATTGAACATCAGGAATTATAATTTGATGCAGACTTTAATATAGCTGATAAAGGGCGCCACATATGCCACATATGTGGCATACATTTGCACTTAACTTTTTTGCTCTTTAAGTTACCGGTGTTTGTGATAAAAAATATTAAAGATACATTATTTTAACAAAAAAAAGTATACTTGGTAATAAATTTAAAACTCAACAGTTTTCGAGATAATCGCAATTTTACAAATCAAGTACATAATTCAGATTTAACGCAATTACTCCAGGCAACGAAAGAAAATTAGACAAAAACATCAATACTTCTGAATTTTGGTATAAAGCTATTAACAGAGTTTTAAAGTTATTAACAAGAATACTTTTTTTTTGTGTTAAAATAATGTATCTTTAATATTTTTTATCACAAACACAGGTAACTTAAAGAGTAAAGAAGTTAAGTGCAAATGTATGCCACATATGTGGCGTCCTCTATTAGCTACATTAAAGTATGCATCAAATTATAACTCCTGATATTCAATAGTACCCAGTTATAAATTTTTATAATAAACATGAAAATTATAGCGAAAATTAAAATTTTAAATTTCCACTTTAAAACTCTGTATCTTTCTTAATATCAACATTTTATAAAAGCAATTTAGCTTGGATCGTAATATTTTGAAGTGTAGAATCTACGGTTTCTTTTTGTACAATTACTTAAGCACCACCCTGTATATATATATATATATATATATATATATATATATATATATATATATATATATATATATATATATATATGCATATATGTAACAAATAAAATGGTTATAATTATTTTAGTTCGTGACAATTCCACCAGGTACCAGAGTACATAACACTATGTCCGGATGGTAAATAACAATGCACACATTTAGTAAAGGTAAACCACACCAAGTCAACATGGTGTTGTTTACTTACCTCTGACTGGAAGTGGACTTGGTGTTTATTAAAAAGTCAGTAACTTGTTGTAAAATTGTCTCAGGACATACTATGGTTTATCTCTGTGTAGAGCCAGAAAAGTTATTAAAGTTAGTTAAAATGACAGAGTATACACATGTAACAAGCTGCGCCTCTGACGCCAGATATAGTGAACTAAAATGTATATCGAGAGATGATTTTGATTTTGACTCGATTTTGCCTCTGGTTAAAAAATTGTCAAACTCCTTATACAGACAAGTTAGCAACTAAATGCCGAAGAAACATGACTGTACTTGTTGAAGGATGAACCTGTAAAATCGGAGACAATCTCGAACTAAGGATGTAGCAATTGGAGGTATATGGTTAGCAATAGTGATCCTATCCCAAGTTAATATGCTCCTTTTCTAACTTGGCTGCACCATACTGAAGACAACCAATAGTCAGAAATACATATATATGGTTGCCTTCCATTGATATACCATTTTTGATTTTTTGTTTTGCGAGACATGCCATTACTTTTTTACTTTATACATATATATAATAAATTAACATATTAGTCATATAATAACTAAGCCACAGCAAAGTCTGACCAGGTCAGCTAGTATTATATATAATTTCATGGAGACCTACCTACTTAAGGTCAGGCTTACTAGATTAAACTTAGAAATAAACTATTTGTGTAAATGTTCTAATTGAATTCTAATAAAAAGGTGTCTTCTATTATAAAATAAGATTAGTGATAATCATAAACAAAGAAAACAGCCAAGCAACAATCAGTATGAGATTTAACTTAATTGCACAACTAAACACAAATCAAAGCAGTACAGATTTTTGTTGGTGTTGTTAATGTGTGTATGCTGATAATTTAAAAATTTTGAAACCAAGAAATTTTAGCACACAAATTTATGTTTTGTTAACAATGGTATTTCGAATTAAGACAATGTTACAACTAAAAATACATATATAACAAATATTAGATAACATTATTACCTGAGAAAAATCCTCCATACAGTCGATCTAGACAGTTTTCAGCATCAACGATAAGCTTTAGTTTATTACCAATTGGCCTAATTTTTCGATTAGTATTATGTGGTTGTTGTCTTTGGGTTACACTCCTAGCTATTTTTAAGAGATCTACAGATACCGCTCCACCTTCTAAATTGGAGCTCTCCAAAAAAGTTTGTAAATCGCTGACACCCATGTTATATACAGATTTGTTTTACAATTTAGCGCCCACTTTTAACTGCAGTTGACATATGTTTACCCTAAATCCATACACTCAAGACATTCCCACTACCATTATATGACCGCCATTATCAATGAACTTTGTCTTTCTCTACGGATATTAATTAATTAAATATTTGCAAAACGAATAGGAACACTAAAATATCTATGGAAGAAACGCTTGATGTAATCATTTAAAATTATGATACAACTTATTTTCTATTGCTGGATGATCATCTTGTATCAAACCGCCGGTAAACTGTGTAAGCCATTTTGTATTGCTTATTGAAATTTCTTTGCAACAATCAAAGTTCCTGATAACTTTATTTAAACAGTTGTATAAGTATAATTTTAATCTTAATTATTATTAAGAATAATTGGAGACATTTCGTATATCAATCACTCACCAATGAAAAATTAAATGTTTACTGAAAATTAGACATGATAATATAAGAATGTCTTTCAAGGTTTGAAGTCAGTAACTATTAACTAACTATTAAAAAATCGAAAGAGCGTCAGTGCCTGTGCTCTGTGCTGTCACTGTCAGATTGTCAATGCTTTGTTGCTGTGAGCACAGAATAATAAACAATCAGAATGCCCACTCTCAGATGCCGCCTTTGAAGTTTTTCAGCACGCGCGCCATGTTTTAGAAGGAAACACATAACCATCGAGCAAAAAGACAATAGAGGGAATGTAAAGGTAGTGGGGGCAAACCATCGAGCAATAAGATCAAAGAGGGAATCTAATCCTTATAAAAAGGAGACCAAAAAAGTGGCCTCTGATGGCGGACATATCCGGAAATGCGAATGCGCCAAATTTAAATTTTACGACACTTATCAACAGTAGCTATATAATATTTTTCAGAATGTGTCTTAAACGAGAAAGTTTTAATTAATTATTAATGATAAGAGCCTAAAATGCGACACAATTGTTAAAAAACTTCAATATAAATAAGATTTCATGTGACATTTGGGACAAACAATGACGTATAATATATAGACTACGCAGTCCCACGGTTCCTAGGCTTACTCCGGTTGCCTCTTCCGCCTAACCAATGAACATTAACACATTCACGACGGGTGTTATTTCCACTGAAAGTATTACAATACGATTCGGGCCCCGGGCGTCCTGTATCAAGATTGTATTCATATACGATTCGGGCCTCCGGCGTCCCTAATAGTGCCGTTTTTTACATTGTTTTTTTCATATAAACAAATATTCTTAAAAATCTAATATGTGAAATAAATGTCGACAATTCTGTATTAAATACAAGGTTTTATCAGGAAATAAATATAATAAAAAATATGACTAATTTTAAGACTAATAAAAAATAAGACTAATTTTTAAAAGAAAAATGTGTATTTTATTTATAAAAGAAATACTTGGACAAAATTAACAAATATGCATTAAAAATTAATTTACATGATTTTCGTTGAAACAAGGTAAACAGTATCCTGGCTGACCTGTACAATCAGCGCAATAGCTGATTACTTTTCTAACTTTCTTATCCGCTTCTCGACTTGAAAGTGATTTCCGTAACATTGTATAACATCCTACACACTTTTTTCTTGGTTTGCGTCCTTTACCCTCCGGTTTTACAAATGTATGGATTTTTCGTTTTGGTGTTTTATTTATTTTATCTCCAGTATCCGTAGTAACTAACGACCGAGCTAATTGCCTTCTAAATTGCATCATAGACAACTTTTTTCCTGTGGCTAACTGAAAAACAACCCATGCATTTACAACACACGTTCCAAAAAGCAACTCGAAACAAAGCTTTCGATACCATTTTAGCGATTTCCTCAAAACCGTAAAATAGGCGGACATTTGATCACTTATATCCACACCTTTTTTAGCTTTATTGTAATCAGTAATACATTTTGGTTTTTTTATTTCATTCCCTTTTCTATCTTTTTTACCAGTTTCTACAAGAATCGCCTCATGTGTGGCATCAGATGTGATCATCAAAACTGGTCTCTTATCTATCCACTTTATTATTCTTAAATTCCCACTTTCTTCTCCATACACCTCAGATTTTTTCATCTTTCTTTCAAAAGATTTTGGAATCCCTTTTCTATTAGATCGAAGTGTTCCGCAGTATTTAATATTTCTTTGATACAATTCCTTCACTAAAGGAATGCTGGAATAGAAATTATCAGCGTATAAGGTTCTGCCCTCCTTCTGGTCTAAACTTAAAATTAATTTTAGTACAATGTCTTCTGAATGACTGTTACTGCTAATATTAACCGGATCGCAGTTTTTACCTGCATAAACTATCACATTGTGCGTATACCCATCTACTGTACATAATTTGTATAGTTTGATTCCATATTTATGTGTTTTATTCGGAATGTATTGTTTGAATAACAATCTGCCTCTCCAAGGAATCATGCTTTCATCTATTATAATCTCTTGGCCAGGTGTCAAGACAGACTTAAAGTTTTCCAGCAGTATATCGAGCAATGGTTTTACTTTGCAGAGCCTATTTTCACTGGCAACCATGTTATCGGAAAAATGTAGATATTTGAGCAATGTTAAAAATCTATCACGGGGCATGATGGAACTTACAAATGCATTGTGAAACATTTCGTCTCTACTCCAATAAGCACTAAGTGTCGGCAAAGGAACTAAGCCCATTGTTAAAATTATTGCGAAAAATGATAAAATTTCATTTTTATCGGTATCATTCCATTCAACTCTTTTCTTATTTTTCTTGGAAATATCTAATTTTTGGATTGCATACATATTAGTTTCTCTAACAATCAGTTCCAAAACATCGTCGGTTAAAAAAAGTCTGTAAGCGTCTAGCGGTTCTTTGATATTTTTCATATTAACATTTAACTTTTGTGTAAAATTTGTTACAAATGGGTCGAGTTTCGGAAAAATAGGCCCCCATAGGTCACATTGTTGACTTTGAATGTTAGTGACATTTTGCTCAGAGTATTGATTATCTTGATCCCCTGCATCTGAGACAGAAAATAAATCTGATTCTGTTTCAGAAATTGACTCTTCTTCAGAAGACGGCATGTAGTTTCTATCTATTATAGAATCGTCACTAGAAAATGGCTCATCGTCATTATCACTTGATACTTCGATATTAGTTCTTTCACACATAGCAGTCTTCTCAGAGGGGTCATATTCCATTTCTTCTTCGAACACATCTTCCATGATATAATTGTCTTGATTTACTGTTTTTTCATGAGTAACTCTTGTAACCATTCCAAAATAAATATCATTTTGCTCTTGTAATGGATTATTATGAGATTCTTCCGAAAAAACAGAACAGACAGGTGACTCGTCATAATCTACTAGTTTCTGTACAATGACTTTTGGTTGAGAACATTGGTTTTTCTTTTTCAGTTTCAAGAGCTAGGTTTAATATTTTGGTCGCTCTTCTGTTCATTTTTGAAACACTGGAACAAAAATACATTTGTATAAAATGCAAAGTGCAATGAAATAAACAATTAAAAGTTTATTTTACAATCTAAAGCATCTTCACACACACACACACACACACACACACACACACACACACACACACACACACACACACACACACACACACACACACATACATATATATATATATATATATATATATATATATATATATATATATATATATATATATATATATATATATATATATATATATATATATATATATATATATATATATATATATATATATATATTTTATATAGATTCTACCTTGTGTCTTACAAATAGAATCATACAGTATTCAATTATGAAAAAATGGAAAAACATCTGTGTCTAAAATGGTTTAGATTGCAAAATAAACCAAAACATAGTAATTTGAATGTATTTTTGTCTAAAAACTATAAATAAATATATAGGTACTAATAACTTACCTTCAAAGATCAATACAATACTGCAGTTTTGACAAAAAACTTAAAAAGATCGGAAGACCTCCGCGGTACGTACCGTGTTACGATCAAAATTATTATCATAATACGGCTAGGGTCTCCCGGGTCCCGAACTTCATTTCGGTTACTATGAGATTTGCCGCGAAATTTTACACAAGGCGCTCTTTGAACTATCGACATCTGTTGACTAATAGTGGAAATACGCCTTTCGAATATTGGGAAAGTCAAGAAAGATTACTACAAAAATTTTAGATCATGACATGTACAGGACCTCGGGGTCCCGAACCGCCGTGAAGGTGTTAAGCTGAACTGTACTCCTGTGACGTAATTTGAATCTTAAAAATCAGCCCTGTGATTGGATGGATGTATCAAAACAAAAATGTTTTATAAATAAAATAAATGTTAAATAACGTGCACGTTAACCTGCATTTACGTTATATTCTAAAAATATATATTATATTCTCTGATAACAGGTTCAATTTAAAGAGATGATTTAATCTCATACTATTTGTAGATGGAAATAACGTGTAGTTAATAAAAATAAAAAATGAATTATTTAGTCCAGAATTTTGGCCGGATTCTAAACGATGAGTTATTAGAAGAATTAGATGATGCTATTAGAAGGTTTGTTAAAGATATTTTTAATTATAGTATCAAAGAATATAGACGCTTATAAGCGTCTATATTCTTTGATAGTATATTATTTATTTAGGTTATGTTTTGTAAACAAAATTATTTTATTGATAGGGATGAAGAAAACATTCAGAGAAGACTTTTGCGAGATTTGGTAAATCCAGTGGAATTAGTGGAAGCCGTATTTCAAAAGATATTTAAGTTATCGAGGGAATTGTCTTTGCATTTGGTTCGAAAGTCTCCAGCCCCATCTAAGACAAGTGCAAAGATCAAATGCTTTAGCACATGAAACCAAGATATGTTGTTTATATTAAGAATTGAGTGAATATATTCCAATATGTTATATTTTATTTACTTTTTATTTTATTATATACTATATTTTATTTTTTTACCATGGAAAGGTCCACTTTTAGTAAAGTATTGACAGAAGTAACTGATGCGATGGTAGAACATCTGT